GAGCTGCTCCCGGTCCCCATTCCCACGATTTCCCCCTCCCCGTTCCCTCTCCTGGTCCCAGAGCCACTCCCGGTCCCCATTCCCTGTCCTGGTTCCAGCTTCCAGTTCCAGACCCCATTCCCTCCCCTGGTCCCTGCTCCCACTCCCGGTCCCCATTCCCACTGCTCCCTCCCAGTTCCCTCTCCTGGTCCCAGAGCCGCTCCCAACCCCAGTTCCCTCTCCCGGTCCCAGACCTGCTCCTGGTCCCAGAGCCACTCCCGGTCCCTGCTCCCGGTCCCCATTCCCTCTCCTGGTCCCTGCTCCCACTCCTGTTCCCCATTCCCACTGCCCCCTCCCAGTTCCAGACCTGCTCCTGGTCCCAGAGCCACTCCCGGTCCCTGCTCCCGGTCCCTATTCCCATTCCCAATCCCAGCCCTGGGTGTGCCCCAGCCCTCCCTGGGTTCCCCCCGTTCCCCCATCCCCCCACACAACTTAAGAGCTCAGGGATTTGTGGTTTAGGGTTTTTTTTGTTTTGTTTTGTTTTTTGGGTTTTTTTGGCTTTTTTTTTTTCTCTTTTAAATCAGCTTTATTTTTTCTAACTGTTATTTCAATTTCCCATAGCACCTTGGCAATGTCAAAAACAAATACAAATACATGTATTATCATTTGAACATTTAAAGCATGAACCTACTTTACACAAATTTTGTTTTGGACAGTTTTGACAACAGGAATAAACCAGAACAGACAGTCTAAAAGCCAGATAAAGTTGCTTTTTTTTCTCCTTTCCTACTACTTTGAAGAGAGATCGTCAATGCCAAGGGGAAGCTGGATTCATCCGGGAGGAACAAGATGTCTGTAATAACTCGAGCTCAATATATTATCTGAATATTTTGTATTCTATAAAAATTAGAACAAAACCCATTTATGCACAGTCTGTTTACATTTGAAGTTGCTTTTTTTTTTTTTCTTTTTTTGGAAACTGTATCCATAACTGAAGCTCCATAAAAATAAACCTCTGGTTCTTAAATATAAAACTTTAAAGTTGTTACAGGTTAGTTTGCAGATGGATTTTTTATTTTTTTTATTTTTTTTTTTTTCAGAAATAAGTTGCTTTAACTCCGTTTCGAGTCCTCCCAACTGTACATTAAAAACAGACTCAATGAACCTCTTGAAGTGCCCGAGCTAAAGGCACTTAAGAGAAGAGCCAACTAAAATAACTACAACAAACCCAAAATTATGTACCATCCTAAAGGAAGCTCAGACTATATGTAATATATACACGCAAAGAAGAGCATGATAAATCATTCAGATTAATGGCAACAATCTTACGTTTCAGAAGGAAATATCAAAATTAGAAACAAACAAACAAACAAAAAAACAAACAAACCTCTATTGCATATCTGTAGTAATCAAGGATTTTACAAAAAAACCTCATCAGAAGCCATTTTTTCCCCCCCAGAAGTGCATTTCTGTTGCATCGTCTGTAATAACAAGGGTGCATTTTTTACAAATTTAAAATATCATCTGTACATACCAGATATCTCAGCCCAGGGGAACCCACCTGGGGACAGTAAAAATCGCAGACAGTTCCAAGACAATGAAGCTGATATCGACAGAGAAGTAAGGCCATAGCTATTTAACTACAGTAAAGCATTGATTAAGTCACTTATTTGCTACTGATCTGCCACAGTATCATCTTTCTCTTCTGGTTAATAAGTGGGTTACTTTATTTTTTATTATTATTTTTTTTAGCATTTTTAAATTTTATTTATTTATTTTTAAACCTACAGCTAGAACTGCACCAGGCTAATTTAAAAACGAAACGAAACGACGAGAGCAGGAATGTAAGATACTATAAAACTAACTCAACGTTAGAAATCCAAAGAAACAGAACTCTTTTTTTTTATTTTTTTTTGCACTTTTTAATCTATCACATGCAAAAAGAATTCCTCCTCCTTTCAGCAGAAGCACAAGAGGGGGGACACACACACACCCCAATCTTTTCCATGTAATTTGGAAAAGAACTGAACTGGGAAGTGTTTCTGCCGCTACCAAAACCCTGAAAACAAAAGTCACAGCTCCTAAAGCTGCCACTCAGGTGGGATTTGCACCTCCTGGTATTTATTTAAGATCAGCAGAGCAGGGCAATTTGCCTTCACATCCCCCCAGGAACTACCCAGAAGGAACCTCCAAGATCTGCTGTCACCTCAAGTGTCCCCCCCCTGGAAACAGGGACAGTTTGAGCTCTGCTGGCACCACGATCCAGCTCCTGGGCCTGGCTCCAAACCTTTGCTTTGTCCCAGTTTCCCCAGTCTGTCCAACAGGCAAACTGGTGGGGAGGGAACTCAAGGCCCTCCCTGAATCCTGGTGCACAACTCCCACCCCACCACGGAGTCACAACCTCTGTGTCCACTTGGGAATCTCCCCCTGCACGGAAAAGGATAAAAAGGAAAAGAACCAAACCCCAAACCACAGCTGGAAAGGGTGGAAGGGAAAAGCTCCTGTGAAATCCCTGCACCCAGGTACGAAATAAGTAACTGAGAGAAGCTGGGATATGCTGGGAAAAGCCAAGTTACAGCCTGACTTGGATTCACTGCACAAGAGCCACGATCTGCTGCTGGAAATGCACTCCCAGGACACCCAGAGCATCCCTTCTCATTCCCCACAAGGACTGAACTGCAGCTGGTTGGGTTTTCCCCTCCTCTGACCAAGTGCACAAGTCACATTTCCCCATCCAGGTCCTCTCAGCAGCCCCAGGTCACTCCAGCAGATGGATCAGGGAATTCTGATCCCCATCTGCAGCAGATGCCACACAATTCCTGCTCGGATCAGCCATGGGCATCCCAAACACTTCCTCAGCCTCCCAACCCACAGGGCACATCTCCCACATCTCCCCCAGGCACCCGGGACCATCCCACAGGTTCCTTTTGTTCCAGTTTGGCTGCAGGAATTGTTTAAAAGCCTTCAGAACGAATCCAACTTTGCATTTCAGAGCTTTAACACTCGAAATGTTTCAAGCTTCCCTCTCATTCCAACAAGCTCAGCGTCACCAAAGTAAAGGGAGAAGGGTCTGTAAGAATCCCTAAACTCTAGATGTGACCAACAATTTCTTTTTTTGTTACTAAATTGAAAAACAAACAAACAAAAAAAAAAAAACAACAAACCTCCCAAACCCAGTACAGGTAGTTTGAAAGCGAATAATGGTTTTGGTTTTTTTTTTATATATATATTTTTATATATATATATATATATATGTATACACACTACAGGACTCGAGGGAAGGGCAGGAAGCTGAGTCAGGGGGAGGTTTTAGGTGGGATCTCAGGAAACAGGTTCTTCCCCCAGAGGGTGGGTGGGCACTGGAACAGGCTCCTCAGGGAAGTGGTCACAGCTCCAAGCCTGTCTGACTTCAAGAAGCGTTTGGGCAACGCTCTCAGGCACATGGTGGGAATTTTGGGGGGGTCCTGGGCAGGGCCAGGAGTTGGACTTGATGATCCTGACGGGTCCCTTCCAACTCAAGCCTATTCTATGGTTCTATTTCTAACCCCATGCGTAGAAATCAACAGTTAACTGCATAAATACATTAATATTGTGTTATGAATCAACTCAAAGCAATTGCCAAGCTGAATAATAAGTTAGAGAAATGACAACTCTGGCTTTATATATATATTTATAAAAATAGATATGAGTGTTCTCCAAGCAGTTGATAGAGAATCCCTACTGAGGCCCGAGGGTTATCTGGCTAAGAAACTCAGAAGATGAAAAATTTCACAGTTATTTTTAACTGCCACTTACATTCATTCTATGGCAACACGAGCATATATTAATTAATTACTAAGATGGTTACGGAATATAATCACAATTGAGTTTTTCCAGTGTTCACAACTTTACGACTTTTAAATTTGTACACTCGCTATTCACTAAAACAAAACAAAAAAAAAATCAAAAAAAAAAGACAAAAAAGAAAAAAAAAAGAGGAAAAAATAAAGATGTGATTCTTACTGCTGGAAGCTACCTTTCCCTAATGCTTTACACAGAACTCTGAACCCTGGCATGCTGATTTTGGCAGATTAATTCTCTGAATGTTCCTATTTCCATCATTAATCACCCTGAAACTTAACCACTTACTGCACAATAGTGTTGCAAATTCAGGCAGCACACACAGCTGGCAAGGTGCCACCTTTCCAGCAGCTTCTCTGAACATGAGGGGGTTTCAACTCTTCACCTTTAGTTCCACTTTAAACAGTTACAACGAGTCGGTTGCTACCACATCAGCTGTAAACAACGAGTTCCCCAGACGTGAAAACCCCGATCTCTGGAGGCCAAACAGACTATTCCAGAGGCAGGACAAAGAAAACCCGGCTCTGCTTTGCTGCCAGCCATCCAGAGAGGATGGTGAGTGCCCAGAGTTCCCACCTGCCAAGGCAGAATTCCACATCTGCAGCCGGAATTCTGGAATTCCAGGCTCTTTCACCTGTGCAGCCACACGAGGTACTGTGGAGCCACTGGGCCTGCCTCAGGAAAAACACACTTCAGTCTGGAATAAAGAGATCAGAGAAAGTAACGAGAGAGGGGAAAAAGAAAAAAAAAAAAGCAAACAAACCTAAGAAGTTGCCCTCAAAAGGAGGAGAGGAAAAAAGGGCAAATTAAAAACTCTGACGTGCTCCTTCTGCCTCCTCCCGTCGCGCCTCCGAAGACACTTTTTGCTGTCCACGCCCTCTCCTCTACAATCCCATAATCCTGCAAAAATTACACTTTTTAAAAAGCTCGCTGAATGAATCATGAGTAAGGTCAAGAGGCTCTACTTCAAGCTGGAAACACGAGGTTTTTTTTAACTACAGCAGTACATTCGGTTTGGCTCTGCTCACACGGAGGGTCTGCAATGCAAGGCCATCCATGGCACACACACCAGCCCACAAAGCCAAATGTTAAATAGGTTAAAAAAAAAAAAAAAATTTTAATTTTTAAAAAAGTTCCTTTTTTTTTTTTTTTTTTTTTTTAAAAAAAAAATTTTCTTATCCTTTTTTTTTTTCTTCTCCTCCTCCCACGCCGAGGGATGGGGTTAATCCGTCAAAGTCAGATCCTTTCTCTTTGTCAGAACGCCACTTTCACAAGCCCCCTTCCCCCCAAAAACTGATTTTCAAGCAGGGAAAAAACCCCCTCTGCAAATTAAAAAACAAAACAAAAAAAAAATACAAAAATTATAATCTCTATATTTATAGTGATTGGAATCCTCCAGCATTCGTGAGATCGCCTTTTTTTTTTTTTTTTTCTTTTTTTTTTTTAAAGAGATGAATTTTGGGACCCTCCACAACTCCTCCTCCTCCGGCACGAGCCACGCTCATCCAGCTCAGAATTCCCCTTCCTGAATCCTTCCTCCTCCTCCTCCTCCTGCTTCCCAGTCTCTGCTGCTCCTCAGCCCAACAGCTCCAATCCAACAGAGAGGCTCACGGGCCGGGCCCGGCGTTACTTTGGTGACCGCGGCGGCACAAACTGCTCCTTCCCCGCGCGCCGTGGGGCTCCCTGAGGCGAAGATCTGCGTCCAAACTGGCGCCTCTGTTCCCTGATTTTCCCGGCGGCTGCTCCCCTGGGAGCTCCTCCAGGCCCACGGAACCCGGGGTGATCCTTCATCCGACCTTCGGCCTTCTCGGGAGGAGGAGCCTTGTCCGGAGCCCTCTCGGCCGCCGCGTCCTCCTCGGGTTTGGCAGGAGGGACGATGTTGGCGCGATGTTCCCTCAGGGGCTGGACGGGCACCGGGGGCGGCTCCTTCGGGGGCTTCTGGCAAACTTCGGCGTAGCTGAGCTTGCGGGGCTCCTTTGGGACCAAGGAGAAGAGCAAGGTTTACGTGCCAGGAGCACCTTCCAGCCCGTGCACGGCAGCAACGCCACGGAGGAGAGCGGAGAGAAGGTGCCGGGGCAGCATCAGAAATTCCCCAAGTTCACCCCCTGCTCTGGGCCTTACCTGCGTCGACAGAGCAGGAGCTGCACTTGCTTGAGCAGAAGGTGAGGAGGTGTTTGTCCTTGGTGGCTTTGCAGCACTGACAGGGGACAGGGAGGCCGGTGGGGAAGCCTGGCTGGCCACGTCCTTCGGAGCAGACGCTTCTTCTGGTTTGCTCTCTGGCTGAACCGTGCTGAGAAAGCAACAACAACAACTCACATCAAAACCTGCTGGCACACAAATGAACGTTTCAGAGAGTAGTTCCTTGCCCTGGAGTCACAGCTGCACTTTAGCAGAGCAGAATGGCACAGCCATTCCCACCACCATTTGTTACTTCCATCTGGTGGCCTCTGGAGAAGCCGCCGACCACAGATGGAGAAACAACAACCATTATTGCCACCGTGCTGGACACTGCTCTGAGACACTGCTGAAGCATGCAAATGAGTCAGCAGTGCCCTGGCAGCAAAAAGGGTCACCATGTCCTGGGGGCACCGGGCCCAGCGTCCCTGGGCAGGGTAGGGAGGGGATTGTCCCACTCTGCTCTGAGCTGGGGCAGCCTCACCTCAGTCCTGGGGGCACTTTGGGCACCACGAGGTAAAAAAGGTCTAAAGCTGTTGCAGAGGGTCCAAAGGAGGGACACAGGGATGGGGAAGGGTCTGGAGCAGCAGCTGAGGGCACTGGGTTTGTTCAGCTGGAGGAGACTGAGGGGAGACTCCTCGGGGGCTGCAGCTCCTCCCGAGGGGCAGCTCCGACCTCTGCTCCCTGTGAGCAGGGACAGGACCCAGGGAAGGGCTGGAGCTGTGCCAGGGCAGGGTCAGAGGCTGGATCTCAGGAAAAAGTTCTTCCCCCAGAGGGTGACTGGGCACTGACCAGGCTCCCCAGGGCAGTGGGCACGGCCCCAAGGCTGCCAGAGCTCCAGGAGAGTTTGGACAACGCTCTGAGGGAGAGGGTGGGATTGTCGGGGTGTCTGTGCAGGGCCAGGAGCTGGAACTCAATCCCTGGGGGTCCCTCCCAGCTCAGGGTATGGAGTGGTTCCCTGGACTGCCACGTCCTCTGCCCACCTCAGCAGCACAGGCTCGCTCTGGCTCGGGGAGCTGGCGCTGCTGGCGGGCGCTGGGGCAGCGCTGGGCGTCTGTTCCTCGGGAGCTGGCACTGGGCAGGTGGGCAGCGAGTCTTTGCCTTCCTGGACACAGAGCACAAAGATGGTAGATGGGTTTAAACTGCCCCTCAGCGTGCCACTCACTGCAGGACAGCTGAGCTGAGCAGTGGGATGCTCCCAAAGGCTGCTCAAGTCCTGATTGTGTTAATTTGACTCCTTTTGGAGTGTCACCTCTAAAGCAACTCCCCCCTCCCATGGGCAAATCACCCAGTGGAGAAGAGGAGGAGGGCTGGATCAGCCCAATTCTCAGTGCTTAGTCCCACCAGCCCAAAGAACAGGTTCATCTGGAAAGATCCCTTGCCCACACTCCACCACACTGCTCCTACTCCAACAGCCACCACTCCCGGTTTCCCTGCTTTATTCCCAGCTTACAACAGCAGCATTCCCACAAAAAGCCAGGAAAAATGCACTATTCTGTGATCACACACAGTGTGAAGCTTGGGATTAAAGCATTCCAATGTGTGGCTCTGACTCTTTAGCAGGGAAAAAGGGAGTCCTGGCACAGGGATACTCCCATGTGTGAGAGGGAGATGGTAACGGGCACCTTCTCTTTGCAGACTCCTTTCACAATGTCGGACATCCTGCTCTCCAGCACAGGCTCTCCCGGGATTTTTGCTGTGCTGCCAGGCAAAGGTGGGAAATTTGATGCAAGCAAGTCAAACTTTGGTGTCTGAGTCTTTGTTTCTGCTGAAGGCTGAGGTCTCTAGAGAGGGAAAACACCCGTTAACAGAGCCGTGACAGCAGGAAAAGCCCTGAGCAAGTGCCAGGGAAATTCTTGGGAAAACTGTTAACCCCCAATTTAATCCCAGGGTTTAAGGGCTCTGCCACTCCTTCAATAACTGCAAAGCTGCACTTTGAGCAAGTCCCTGCAATGGGGGAAGGGGAACTCACTGAAACCCGGTCGTCGTCCCGTCTCCTCCGACCTCGGAACACGTTCCTCCTTGGAAGACAAGAAACCCTCAGTCAGTGCCTTGACCCTGCTCTGCACAAGGGAACTTGGGATTCACTGTATCCCTGGGATTCCATCCTCAGGAGGGGTCAAGGTTCTGACCCCTTTGGAACAGAGGAAATATGGGAACAACTTCTCTCCCTCACCCCCAGAGATGAGCAGAGTATCACCAAGCACAGGGACAGTTGTAATTCTACAGCAATCAACTTACTGGCCTGACTTCTCCCCAATTTGCCCTGGACACTTAAGTGTCTAAACCCTGAATTCACAGAGCAAAGATAAAACCACTTAATCTTAAAATACTGCAGAGCATCAAACTGCCAGCCCGGGATTTGCTTATTGTTTACAGCAACACAGCTGCCAACTTTACCTCAGTTTTAATTCTGGGGACAAATCAGGTATTTTAAAATTAAGACCCCTCACTGTCTTACTGCCAGAGTAAATAGCAGGTGTAGATTCAAGCAGGAAGCTGTTCCTGCTCCCAGCTCAGCTTTTATCACTCCTGCTTTAGTTAAATGCCAGTTTTCTCGTGGTTGGCCTTTACAGAAATGTTATTTTGTGCCCGTGCCCGATGACCTTTGGGCCAAGCCCCACGTGAGCAAACAGGACACAGCTCCTCACCTGCCCCTGCCGACGCCGTAATCCCCGTTCTGCTCCAGCTGTGCCGTGGGAGAATCCTTCTGGGAATACCCTTGGTCTTGGTGCCCGGTTAAGGGGCTGCTGTGCCGCTCCATGACGAAATTCCTGGAGCTGGCTCTGCCCAGGTCCCCCATGGGCACTGCCCCGAGGGTGGGAGGCCCCTCCACGTGCTCCGAGCTGGAGGAGGAGCGGAAATGGGGCTTCACCCTGCGGAGACACGGACCTGAGGGACTGGAGAACCACCCCCACAGCACCCACAGCCCACAGCCCACGGCACAGAGCCACGGGAGGGATAACAGGATATCCTGAGCTGGAAGGAGCCCCCAAGGATCAAAGCCTCAACCCTGGCATTGTCAGCACCCTGCTCTGACCAGCTGAGCTCACCTCGGGGCCAAGAGAGCAGCAGGTCAGGAAGCACCACAACTCAGAAGCTCTTTCCTATGTACATTCGTGAGGAATAAAGACATTTGTCTTCCCCAACCCCATGGATTCCTCCTGTTATGGTTTTCCTGCAGCCTCCTCTCAAATGTTGCCGTTTACAGGAAACACTGAGATTGTTGCCCAACAGACACCAAAGGGGGGAAAAAAAACCAACCCCAAACCCAGCGGTGGCAGCAGAGCCAGAAGCCCAAAGAGGGATTTTTCCTCTGTCTGGGCCTGCAGCAAAGGCACAGGGAATTGGAGAGGGACCTGGAGAAATAAGCTGAGCCCAAGGAACAAACACATCTGGCCACAGGTGAACAAATGAACTGAGAGATGAGGCCAGGAGTAGATGGTGACTGAACACTGGAGATCAGGCCAGGGCAGCTGAGCCCCTCTCCAGGCAGAGCCAGGCTCAGCCTCGCTGCTCCCATTCCCAAACCCCCAGCACTGACTCTGCAGTTCCCAATCCCCAGACATTTCACCCTGTTATTGATTATTCAGCACTAAAGCTGCAGTTCCCTTGAGCACAGACACAGCTCTGCACGCTCAGTGCTGCTGCAAGTTCAGGCACGGGGCCCTAAATGCAGAATTCCCCAGAAAAACTCTGCCCCAGCACAGCATGGAACAGTTTCCTGGGGCAGCATTTGGGTGCCTTGGACTGTTTTCCACTCCTGCCTTTTCCAGCTGCAGAAAGGGAGACAAAGAATTTAAACTCTCTCTCTCCTCTCTGGTCAGCTCTGCACATCTCCTAATTTAAGGACAGCAGGAGGATTTTGCACACTTATTGTTTTTAAACAGTCTCATTACAACATTCCGTGCAATCAGAAGAAACTCTCCTATTGCCAGCCGGGGTCTGACTCCTCCATCTCCCTTTCCCACAACGATGTTGCAACAAATCAGGGCAAAATAAATACAAGTAGCTTAAACAAATGTTTAGCTACAGAGAAAAACCCCAAAGCTTAACTATTAACTGCCTGTAGGACAAGACAAATCAGGCTTAATGGGCCAGCACAGAAACCCAAAGGCAGCAGCTCCTCTGCAGCTCAAGAGGGGATGTGCTGAACAGGGATTAATTCACATTTCACAGCTTTGAGAAGCACCAAGAAGCAGTTTTAAGGCCCCCAATAAAAGTTTTCCATCAGCAGAGCCCATGAAGAGGAGGAGGAAGAGGAAAGTTAAGTGAATTCTTCCATTTTGTTCAAGTTGCCCTCAAAATGGCAGCCCTCAGATCTCATAATCTTACCCGTCATCGAGAAGGCCGCGGTCTCGTCTGGGCAGAAGAGCAAAGCAGGAAAGATGAGGAAAGATAAAGGAGGAAAAAAACCAAAAAAGAAAAAGCAGAGAGAAGGAGAGATGATGTGGAGAGAGCAGGAGGAAGGAAGAGCAGGAGGAAGGAGAAGCAGGAGGAAGGAGAAGCAGGAGCAAAGCTGCCCAGAGCCCGACCGTGACCTGTTCTCTCTTAGCGCGATACTTGATCATCATTGGGCCACAACCTGCACAGTCCCACACCCCTAAAGCTGCAGCTTCAGGGGGTGAAGTTGCCCAAACTAAAACACAGCCAGGATTTTAGGAGCTTAGGGATTACACAGACATGATCTCCAGGGCAGCAGCGAACACGGGGCGCTCCAAGGTGGTAACGCTGGGAACACACCGACACTTCTGAGTTTTACAGGCTTTGGTTGGGGCACAACTCAAGGCAAAAGAAAAAAAAGAGCCAAACCACCTTTGTAAAGATGGCAGCTGGGAGCTCAGCAGCTGCAACTGGAGCAAGCAGAGTCACCCTCCCAGTCCCACAGGCTGTGTCAAGGCTCTGCTGAGTCACCGCAGAGCAAATCCTGAGGTTCCCCTTCTGCCAAAAAGCCCCCGACCTGAGCTGCACCCACAGACCCATCTGCCAACAGCCCCCGACCTGAGCTGCACCCACAGACCCACTCACAGCCCTGGCACTGTCAAATGATTCCTCCAACAACACAAAAAGCAATTCCCTTGGCCCCTCTCTGAGCTGCACACAAACAATTCCCACCCCCACCCCCAGGTTACCACTCCATTGTATTCCCAGAGCAACACAAAGTGTTTCCTCCTCCCCAGTGTTTACAGCTGAGGCCTCACAGCTCTCAGGAAAGATGGGGATAAAGCAAATAAATTACAGGAACAGACAGCAGAGCTCAGGGCATGCAGGAACCCAAGGGCTCTGTGAGGCTGATCCCAGCAGGAAAGGCTTATGTTAGTGCTGCTGGAGTTCATAATCTGCGTAGGACAAACATAATTACAAGTATTAACTTAAGAGGAAGTTAGTTATTTGTCTGCAGAAATTCCTCTGAGGCTTTTAAAGGAGTTACCTTTGCTCTCTCCAGCACGTGTGTCCGATATTTTTTTATTTTTTTTTTTAAGGATTTTAAGCTGCCACCTTGATTTTTTTTTTTTTTTCAAATCAAGTTGAAAAACATCACACAGGTTTGATAAATGAAATAAACAGCCTGGTCTCCCCCAGTGACACACACAAGGAACACCTGAGGATGTCAGCAGTGTAAGTTTTCCAGGAGCTGTCTTACCGATTCCTATGGAATGGGCGACCTATACTCAGGGAAGCAGCATTTGTTTTATATGATCCTGGTGTGTTAAAGCCATTCACAAATCCACCATTGGGAAAGGGGGCCTGCAACGAGACAGAACACTCTCAGTTGGGGCTGAGCTGCAAAGGAAAACGTTGGCAGGTTTCTGGGGAGCTTCAGTAGGTTGTAACTTCATGTTGGGCTGGAGCATCTCCCGTGGTGGGAACTCACTTCTCCAGACAAACCAAACCCCCCCTGGGAACAGCCAGCACCTGCTTTAGCAGAGTCCTGGAAAAGCTACAGAGTCCTCCAGTAACACCAGCTACTGGAAAATGGAATTTCACACCAGAATTCCCTGAAATAAGTGGCAGGCAGTGGCAAGGCTGGCAGCCTGTCCTGCTTGAGGTCCTGGAGCAGGTCCAGAGGAGAGCAACGAGGCTGGGGAAGGGACTGGAGCACAAGTGCTGTGAGGAGAGGCTGAGGGAGCTGGGGGGGGCTCAGCCTGGAGAAGAGGAGGCTCAGGGGAGACCTCCTCACTCTCTGCAACTCCCTGACAGGAGGGGGGAGCCGGGGGGGGTTGGTCTCTTTTCCCATCAGCAAGACAAGAGGGCTCGGGCTTCAGCTGTGCCAGGGGAGGTTTAGGTTGGATATTGGGAAGAATTTCTTTGCAGAGAGGGTGCTCAGCCCTTGGAATGGGCTGCCCAGGGAGGGGGTGGATTCTCCATCCCTGGAGGTGTTTAAGATGAGACTGGATGTGGCATCAGTGCCATGGGCTGGGAACCACGGCGGGGTTGGATCAAGGGTTGGACTTGATGATCTCAGAGGTCCCTTCCAACCCAGCTGATTCTGGGATTTTATGCTTTATCAGGTCCACAACACAAATGTCATAAAAGAGAGAGGTCTGACTAGAAAAAAACCTGGGCACTCCCCAGCTGGAACACCCCCTCAGCCTCCTGCTGCTGCTGAACCAACTCACCCCCGGGCTGCTCCCCCGTGGGACTCACCAGTGGTGTCTCAAAGTAAGGTGCAGGATTTGGAGACCAGGTCTGAGGCACAATGCTGTAGATGGAGTACTGCTGAGGGCTATATACAGGCTGCATGAACAGGGGGGAGGCAAACTGGGCCTGGGTCTGCACAGGCTGGGGGTACACGCTGGAGTCCAGCACCCGGTAACCATTCTTGGCGAAGAACGTGTTGATGGCTTTGATCCTGGCCTGCAAGACAGCAACAGCCCAGCCCAGGTCAGCCAGGAAAGGAGGAGAGGCACAAAGAGGAATCTTTGCTGCCTACTGAGTTGCAACAGAAGGGATGAGAAGGGCTGGTTACTGCTCAGGAATAAAAACTGTCAGGGGTCAGCTCAGCTCACACCCTCCCAGTGTGACAGGGGGAAGGGAAGGGCACACGTTGCTTGGACTGGAGAATCTGTCAAGCTGAAGACAAACTACAGCAGGGACTGTCCAGATTCCAGTGGTGACAGCTCCTCTCACAGCACAGGCAGCTCTGCTCCAGCCTGGTCTGTGCTGCAGCCAGCTCAGGACTCACAGGGGCAGGAATCCCTCTCCTGAGCTCTGCAGACCCAGATTCTGGGCAATGTGGAGAAGGGAAGATGGCACAGGAATGTGTTTCAGCCCCCCTGTGAGTAACCAGCAGCCACTGAACTGTAATTTGTCAGAGCTACCCATGACCTCATTCATGTCTCCAGCCTTCAGAGTAAGAGTTATGGACCAGCCCACTGCTAATTCCTTGGTCCCACCCCTCCCCAGAAATGGTCCCCATCATCCAAAGGGAACAACAGAAAGCTCAGCTAAATAAAGCAGCCTCACCATTACTGGCTTGCCCTGAAAGGTTTTCACTTCTTCCCTTAAGTATTTAAATGCCTGCAGATACAAAAAAAAAAAGAAAAAAAAAAAGATCAACATTAGAATATCTTGATAAAATTTTACTTCCCAAAGGATATTACATGATTTAACACAAATGTGCTTCCCTGTCAGCCCAGATAAATCCATTAACACTTCAAATTCAGGATTCCAGTGCCAGCCCTGGTCGCTGAGTGCCGAGGCAAGAGGCAGACAAGGGAATAATCTCCCAACCTCAGTCTTATTAACCAGAATTTGCCAGTAATCTCTTAGAACAACAAAAGGGGGATCAGCAAATAAATATTTCTCTTAGCCCCAGGAAGCACACGTGCAACCCCCCTGAGCAGGGGGAGGATTACCAAGGGGGATGTTGGGGTTGGAGGGGCCTTACCTGCTGCGCGTCTGTGTCGGACTGGAATGTGACGTACCAGTTGTTGTTGTGAGCAAACTCACAGCTTATCACCTTGGGGCAGTTCTCGTTCTTAAACAGGGCCTTCACCTCCTGGGGAGACAAATCCAGGCCAGTTTAGGGCACCTGGCTCTGAGCTGGACAGTGAACACCAAGGAGACACAGGTTTATGCTCCAGCTCCTCCCTCCCGTGAGCAGGGATGTTCTCGTGTTCCCCTGACAGGCTCTCCAGGCACCACATCATCCCCTCCCTGCTCCTGAACCCACAGATCCCACTCCAGGCCTCCCCAGGTAAAACACAGCAGGATCAGGTGGTAAGAAAAATCAAGACCTGTGTGATATTTCCACAGAAAACAGGTAGCAAAGGTGTGGCTTTAAATCAGAGAGATAAGAATGATTCCATGAAATGCTTCTAAGTCAAGGCAACCTGACAGGGGTTTTTTTTCATATCTTTGCAATAAACAGATTGTAAAGAGAGGGACAAGCAGCTGTTCAGTGTTTGCATTAAAAGAACTCATTAAAAATGCTGGTAGACAAACACCCTGTGTTACAACTTTTAAAAAAACAAAGAGCTAAATCATTCTGTTCGCCAAGTATCAGGAGGAATTTTATTATCCTCCCTTCTCTGAACATAATGAGCTCAGCTCACGCTGGGGCACGATGAATGAGAAATGTTTAGCAACGTTTCTTGCTGCCAAAACAACCGTCTGACTTCAAGTAAAAGTTACTGCTGTGACAAAAAATTCAGCCTGAATTCCAAGCTGTGCCCCTGGACTGATTTATTTTTGGATCTGAAAAGAAACCAGTTCAAACATCCTTCCAGAGAAGCCAGGCTAGCTCAGTTTTGGTGGAAAAAAAAAAGAAAAAAAAAAAAGGAGTTTACTTAGAGAAGGTTTAAATATAGTAGTAAATAATGGGAAGGCACGATGGCAATAAGTTTTTGTTTTGGCTGTTTTGACAGCGCACCCAGGCGGAAAACATTACTGATGTGGTTCACAAGAAAAATATCCCTGTTTGATCACATTAAACACCAGCTGACCTTTTCCTGGTGCTGTCTGAAGCCAACCTTCCAAACCCATCAACCTTTATTTCCCTCTTCTGCCCGGATTTACCTCTATGGGTGTTGTCTCGGGGATCTCCCGGAGGATGATAATGCACCTCTTGTGGTTTGGTCTGACTTTCTCCCCTCTCTCATCCACTTGTACCATGGGAGAAGCTGAAATTCAAAGAGCAAAGTGGGACACTCTGAGCACACCTCGGCAGGAACAGGCTCTTGTTGTGGAACTTGGGACAAAGAAGGAGAATTCAAGGGTCTGGAACAGCCTCTTACTCAGCCATGGCTGCAGAGGGAGGTTCCTGTCACCCTGCACCAGGGTGAAGCCACAACCAGCTCAGAGACTGAACCATCTCTCTGAAGCACCAGGATTCTTTGTCCTACTGATACACCCCCCAAACCCCCAGACTTACATCTCAGAACTTCAAGAATAAGGTCCATATCCGTTGTCAGCTTCTTAATCCCTTCCATGTTGGCAATTGTCCATATTGGAACAAACTGATCACTGTCCATCTGAGACATCAAGTAGAGATCCTTTGAAAGATTCTCACTAAAAAGACATAAAATCGTGATTTCATAAAAATCCTGAACTTGACTCCCAAAAGACTCAAAAAAACCAGGATCACTGCAGGCTTAAATATTCCCCAATTTCACTCACAGCTGAAATACCCTCAAGTTCTCTCTCCTGGAACAAATCCCAGCAGATCAACACAAAGCAATTTAAAAAATGTCATGAAAGTTGCAGTGCTCTGCTCGTTGGCCTGCAAAAGGGCTCTGCCAAAGAGCCTCCTGGGGACACACAGCCAAGTTATCTCGAGGTCTTACAGCTCCAGAGCACAGGAGGTTCATCCTCACCCAAGGACACGGATGCACAGACGGGACTGGAACAGCTGGAAGGTGCCACGGGGGTTTCCAGGGCACGTCAGCAAACCTTGGTTTGTGTTTTTATCAAGATGATGGGACACACCAAGCCAAAACCAGGGAATATTTGTCAGGGATGTTAGTGAAGGCTTTGTAGCAGGCTGAGTTAAGTGCACCTACCGGGAGAAGCAGAATTCAAGTTGTTTCCTCAAACATTCCCTGATGTCTTCCGTGGACACGGCGGAGGGGCCGTCACCTGGAAGGGACCACACCCCTCCATCAGATCCCAGTTCCACATCCACACAGAGCAAGGACACGTCTCATTGTCCAGGAGAAGAATAAATCCCTCTGGGTGGGACCAGGGGGAAAAGCTCATCTGAGGTGCTTAAAGAACTCAACACACTCCCAACGCGACTCCGACCCCGCCGCCTGCACCTGCTTGGCCAAGTGTTGGAGCTTCTGGGATAGCCATGGACGTGCCAGGATTCCTCCTGGGTCACAGCACAGCTGCAGCAAACTGCAGGGGGGGTCACAGGCCCTGACAGCAGTGGTTGAACTCGAGCACTCACCAGACACTTCATAGATTTGGTATCCCAGGTCTTCGGTCGCCAGGACGATCCCGTTGGCAGAGGCTTCGTCGGCTCCTGTGCCATTCCTCGTGGCTTCACAGGACGGGGAATACATCACTTCATACTGCTTGCAGCTGTCCTCTGAGAGCTCTATGTTACCTGCCAAAGGGACACACCAGCAGCAGGGAAACTCCTGTGAGCTCTGGGATATTCCCAGACTTTGTATTGGAGAGAACTTTCCAGTTCTCCAATTTCGGTTTGCACCAGGCTCTCGGGGATAAGTAAATAAAAGTAAATAAAGGATCCTGAAACTGATCCCCAGAGGGGGAGAGGATCTAAAAACCAGTCTTTCTACGTGAAATTTAAAATATTTAAGGGAGGTTCCCAAAAACAAGGGGTGAAAATCGCTTACACTGCCACGGCTGCTTCACTTTGTTGTGAAGAGACAAATGAGTTTCTGTCGGGCAAAGCACAAACCCAGCGCTCGATCCTCACTTCTGCTGACTTACCAGAAACCTTTGACAGGGCCACACGAGCTGAATCCCCCCCTTCTTTATCCCTGACTTTGACTGAGCTGTTTTTGCAGGGAATCTTCTGCCTCCTCTGCCGTGCTTTGAGTCACCTCAGCCACCCCTGAGCCAAACCAGAGCCACCTGAACGCTCAGTTCTGGATGTGGTCAGGATGGAAACAGGGCTGAGATGGAACAGACTGAAGGGAGAGGAGCAATTTGTGGACGCTGGGCACTCCTGCCAGCTCTCAGCAGCCCCTTGGTGTTCCCAGGATGGCAGGTGACCCTCAGACCTCATTTTCCTGTTCACAGGGCCCACGGATGCCAAAGTGCAGCGATGCCATGAGTCCATGCCCACACTTCTGGCACCCTGCTCCCTCCTAGCGCGTTACATGGTCATCACTGGGCCCCTTGGATCCTGTTCCCTGCCCAAGTGTCCTGTCCCAGAGCAGCTCTGACACCTCCTCGACCCCCTGAACCAAAACCCACCGGTGAGACCCACCCGTCACCTCCATAAACCCCCTGCTGCCTTCTCACACACTTATTTCACACTTTTTGCTCCCTCAGCACTGACAACCTCCAGGACAAGAGCCCAGGGGTTGCTCCTCCCTGGAGCTGAACTCTCATTGAGTGTCCCCCAGCAAGGGAAGTGTCACCACATCTCACCCTCGGCCGGAGTCCCCTGGGCCGCCGCCGTCTCCTGCCACGTGTGCTCGGTGCCATTTGAGGGGGGCACGGCCTCACCACTCCCCTGGGGGACTTCTTGCCACACTTTGGCGTTGGGGTTCAAGCCAGCCCCCTTGGATGTCACCTGCTGAAGAGACCAGAACACCTCTGTCAGTGCCAGGGAAGCCCCAGAAGCCAAGCCAGACAACACAGGAGAATTTAGTGATTGTCCCTCTAGAGTTCCACATCTCAAGTGTCTACCCAGCTATTAAAGCACCTATGTGATTTTTTTTTTTTTTCATTAATCAAAACAGGAAAATCCTTGGTATTTTTTCCAAGTATTTCATTTCTACCTCCATTAGAAGTGTTGCCTTCAACCTCTCTTTATTGACATCCGACAACATCAGCGGAGGCAGCGGCTACCGGCCAGGACTCTGGGAACTCATAAGCTTTTAAAGACTTGACTGTCATAATGCTCCAGTCCCCTTTCACCAGAAAGGGAAATTTTCCCTCCTCCAGACCCCTTCCTAGAAAGGAAGGTAAAAAAACATATGTCAAGGAGCAGAAACTGTATGACTTATGGAATTAGTGACATCTCTACTAACCAAGCATCGCCTGTGCTGTGCCAGGATCCCTCCTGAACTTACCTGAGCCCTGCCCCGTCCCCCCAGGGATCACCTACACCTTACACACATCAGCAGACACAAATCAGTTCCTTAAACCTGCAGCCAAGGGGATTTGGAAGTGCCAAGACAAACTTTCACACTGTCCCAGCCTGCTGGGGGGGAGAACAGGAACTTCTCACCTCGGGAATGGGCAAGGAGGGCCACAATTAGAGGGAGAGGGCTGAAAATGGGACAGACAAGAGGAACTGCTGCATTCCAGCCTGGAACCTGGCAGGGAGAAACACTCCCTCCCACAGCACAAGGTGGAGCCCTCCAAGGTCCCTTGCCCAGAGCTGCTCAGAGGCATTTGGGTGACAGTGGTTTTTGCTCCTTCCACGCAGACAACAAAACTCCCCTTCTGCAAAAATTCTCCCCCCAGGAAGTTCAAACACCCCACAGGTCACTAACACAGTTCCTCCAGCCACTGAAGGATGCTCCACTTCGCTCCTGCTGGACTTTAAAAGGCGAAAGCCATTAATCCAGCTCACATCCACAGACTCCCAGATGAGGAAGTTGGATATTTCGGAGCCTGGTCTCCTGGGTACTGAAGTTAAGGAGTGGCTCACTACCAGGCCTCAAGCACAAAGCACAAGGATAAGGAAGCAGTTGCAGTAGCTTTAGAGATAATTCCTCTGCCAAGGTCACACCTCGTGCCAAAGCTGTTGGCTGCAAGGACAAGCCCCAGTCCGGTAACAAGAAGCCTCCAAACACAGGAGAGGTTCAAGACAACCACGAGAGAAGCAAAACAAGGACCACAGTTCCTGCTCTCAAACTTCCCAACAGCAACAGTCTTCCCCTCTCATTAATCTCAGCCCAAGAACAGAGCTGGAAACAGAAGGGACTGGAAAGAGTTCAGGGCGAAAGGACACGCGTGCGTTTCCCTTCGCGGAGTTCAGAGCAATCCTCCAACAGAACAACCTGAGAGGGAAATCCCAGGGAGCTGCTGCACCCCCAGGCTCTGTCCCTGCAGCTCAGCACTCCCAAACTCCACCTTGCTCAGCTGCTGGGCCCTCCTGGGACAGAGCATCACCCGTCCACGTGCACTCAGGGACCCAGACCCAGCAGTTCTTTGACTTCACTTCTCATCAAAGCAAAATGAGACAAGACACAACCAGGAGATGATTCATTCTTCTCTAAAAATAAACTCTGCCTCACTACCTACATCTCTGAGGGAAGCACTGAGCTCAGCCTGAAAGTAAATTTGAAGGAATGGCCATGATAAAGGGAAACTGAAACACTTTTGGGGCAGTTTCTGCGCTTCTGGAGGTGATCAGGACTAAAAGCAACTCTGGGGATGGCAGAGGATGTTCCTCACGTTAGAGAGACACCAAAGCTCTGAAATCTCAGGTGCAGGTGAGAAGGGCTCAGAAACCAAACAGATTTGGGCTGGGAAGTGATGAATGGCCCGTGAACACACATGGGACACACACCTGGAACAGAGCATGGGCCACCTCCCCTGGGCTGGAAACCCTCAGTGACGTGGAACACAGCTCTGCACAACCCAGCCCTGCTCTCACCCCTCTCAACAGCAAAAAACCCCACGGTCTGGAGAGGACAAAAAGTCCCTAATTTACATCAGCTTTTGGGAAATTCGCCGGGCCCGAGCCCCAGGAGCGGCTCTTCAGAGGAGAAGGCCAAACTATCAACTCTTGCTTGTTTAAGCGAGGATCCAGAGCCCTGGCCTGTGGGATTGGCTGCAGCACCATCCTCCCAGCTGCTATCAGGAACTTTCATGACGAGGTTAAAGCTTTACAGAGTGACAAAGGTTGGGAACACTCGCTGGGACCCACGAGCTGACAAAGCTGCCCTCGGCACACAGCAAATGTGGATCAAAGATCTTCCTCCAGCAATTCCCCCCCCAAAAAAATGACTGTTGAAGCCAACTCTCATTCTTGAAAGGATGGCAAAGGATATTTTTCTTGTTGTAATTACATCTAAATCACATTTAACCAGAGCCAATTAAGCTGACAAAAATGCGAGCGCTCGGAGGTTTAAAGCATTTTAATATTAAATCAAATCATCCCGCGACCAAAATCTTAACCCAGAGCTTGTGACACGTTTCCCGGAGCAGGCAGAGACTAAGAGGGAATCAAAGCCGAAAAATCCAGAAGAGAATTTAACAAAAAACTTGCGAGGGGAGAAACTAAACCTTTTTCCAGAAGTGGAAACGTAAGCAGATGGAAAAACCCCAAGGTCAGCAAAGCCATGGGAGGCAGTGGAGAGAAACCTTGTGCTGGCTGGGGGAGAGGCAGGAGGGAACACCCCTGGGGGGGCTCAGACACAGTGTGGGCTCCTGG